GATACTATATACGACAAAGTGGACATACTCACCATTCACTAGCGGGTGAATTAACACTCTAAGTATTGGTGATAAGTAGGTCTGTATGTTATCTTCAAGGTCTTCGTCGTGTATCTCCCGTTCTCTTGGTTTTCTCCGCACTCCGTGCGGGGTTCTCCATGGGGTCTTCCAAGGGTGCGTGGATTTCCCCCGGTGATTGGCTGCAACGTATAGATGACGTCATTTACAACCAATCACCGGGGCAGCGGCACGTCAACATGCCACTGATCGTTAGGCCTGTCCAAGCCTAAGCTTGCACAGCCTAACTCAATAATAGCAGGGTAATGATTAGGCCAAGCCTAGCCTAAGCCTACTAGTTCAGATTATTTCATATTTGTTTTAAACTTTTTTATTTTTTTTAATTTAAATTTGTTGATTTAGATAGTATAAAAGGCCTAACCTAGGCCAGCGGGGGATATAATTTTTATTACTAGTACTAGGCCTAGGCTAGTATTAGGGGCCTAGTAGGCCTATGTGAGCCCAGGCCTAGCATAGGGAAGGCTAGGCTATATCTCTAGGCCTTTAGTCTAGGCTTAGCCCTAGATAAAGGCATGCTATAGGCCTAGTAGTACTGTTTAATTAATTATTGTTGATAATTAATGAATGATTATTATTATATTATCAGTATCACTATATCAAACTGCTTTTAATCTCTAGGCCTATACTGTTTTTGATTGTTTTTAACAGATTAACTGAATTTTGAAGTGAAGGCTCTGCAAGTATCTGATGTCAGGTATTTTCAGTTGAAACTAAACATTAAATTTTACCTTCAACTTTCCAACAAGTGTCAAAGGCTATAGGAATTGCAATTTGTGTTTTCGATATCGACCACTCCAAAAATGAATTTGTTCGCCAAAAATGTAAGCGTGCGTTTCAAGCTGTCGACCAGGAAAAGAATATTAAAAAGGGTGAGTTGGATACTTAAATATGCATGTAGTACCTCACTCTGGCCATTCGCTAGCACCACTTAAAATACTTCCCAATAAGTACATTTTGGGAAGTATATGTCTTCAGGACAACTGAATTTTTTAAGCTACAGTACTTGTCCTAGGACATGTGAAATGAAATTAATTTCCCTCATGCTGATTAGCTTTTAAAATTAATCTTTATAATATTATTGTTTTTCAGAATGTCCGGTGCAGTTATAGAGAACTACTAGGACAATTGCAAAGTTACTGTAGCATAGTTAAGAAGATTGCTGACCTGCGAAACTTAAAGTGCCAGTACATAATAATTATTACTGTAGGTATGACTGTATATATTTAACAGAAACCAGATTTAAAATATGTTTTGTGAACAATAGTTTTATATTCCATAGCATTATTATAGCATATTTTTAACAAACAGGCTTTGTGCAGTATTTCATTTTTGTATTTTAAATAAATAAAATAAATGAAAATAACAATTGTTTCTTTTCTTTTGTTTTTTTCAGTATTTAGCAGTGTTTGTCAACCTCTTTGAAGCCTCATTTGGTTCTGGCATTTTCCAATTGGTGTCCATCTTTTTTATGTTATCCAATTGAATAAAATTCTAATTGGATAAAATTCCCATTGGAAAGTGCCAAAACCCAATTGGATAAAATTGGATTTTGGCACTTTCCAATTGGAATGTTACCCCCAATTGGGTTTATAATATCCAATTGGATAAATCCCAATTGGAAAGTGCCAAAATCCAATGGGATAAAATGGGATTTTTGCACTTTCCAATTGGAATTTTATCCAATTGGGTTTATAATACTCAATTGGATATAATTCCAGTTGGACAGTGCCAAAATCCAATTTTATCCCATTGGATTTTGGCACTTTCCAATTGAAATATTATCCAATTGGGTTTATAATATCCAATTGGATAAATCCCAATTGGAAAGTGCCAAAATTCACTTTTATCCCATTGGATTTTGGCACTTTCCAATTGGAATTTTTCCAATTGAGCTAATAACATCCAATAGGAAACAAGTCCAATTGGAAACAAGTTCAATTGGAAAGTGCCAAAATCCAATGATGTATTTTCCAATTGGATCCAATTGGAAAGTGCCAAAATCCAATGATGTAATTTCCCATTGGAAAGTGCCAAAATCCAATGATGTATTTTCCAATTGGATCCAATATGATTTTTTCCAATTGGAATGAATTGGCCATTTTGGTAAGGAAGCTAGGCCTAGTTCGTCAGTACAGTAGTTACTGCGATGCGAGGGTGGTAGATCGTTCAGTCATTGATATCGTGTTATCGTCTAATACATTTTAATAATGTGTGTACAATTTAAGAATGCACCGCGTGGGTTGCTTTCTTTGTTATGCGGTAGTAGTATACGTAGCAGAGCAATCTAAGCCTAGCCTAGGGCCTAGATGGTTACGTTCTTCTTGATCATCGACGATCATCATGAAAACTTCGGGTGACAGACGATTGGGCCCAAGATCGCTTCAAATAAATTGTAGTCCTAGTAGGCCACCACCCCCACTCCTGATATCGTTCCAAACTACTGTAAAATGAAATTACTGTATACCTAGCTAGGCCTAGGCCCTATGCCTACGAAATTTTTTCAAAGAAATTTGGTAAAAATATTACTGTAATTTGCCTGTGGAATTACATTACTAAAATCAATATTTTGGGCCATAAAGACTCCCCTATATATAATATATATTTATATATAATATATATATATCTGTCTCTTA